TTGAGAGTGGTATCCAAGGAGACTCTCTGCCAAGCACGAAGGCTTTCTGGCCATTTTTTCTTCGGCGGAGCTTGGGCGCCAGACTTACCAGCCCTCCACGGACTATATGGGAAAAATCCCCTCCAGCATCCACAGGTTCGGGCTTTAGCTCCAGAGATCTTGAAAAGCACCAGTCTGACTTTCTACTGGCAACATGCCCTCAGAATTAGTCCCTGCATTAATAATATGGCCCCAAACCCCACTACTCTCATTAACGCTGCCTCGATATCAAGATGCCAGAACCCTTCGTTCAACCCCCTGATGCATCCAGCAGCATGTTCCCATAGTCATCCGTCGACGTCCTCTCCAAAAACCTAGGCGGAGGTGTCAGGTTTACCGGGTTGAGGGTGTAGGTTTCGGGCTCAGGATCTAAGAAAAAAGGCTTTAACCCTAAACCCTCAACCCTGTTCAACATGGAGAAACCCCAAATCTCGAGACCACGCGCCTGAAACCGAAAACCCTAGACCCAGGCTCAGGCAGAGTTCTGTCCGGGAGAGCTATAGATCCCTAATTTAACTCCCCTGAAGATCTCTTATCTATGGGTGGCTGTCGGCATAAATTAGGGTCTCTTTTTGGATTCTCCAAACGACAGGCTGCCTCGTTAAGAGTAGGATTATATATCGTTCCCCCCACCCACCCCCCCTCCCCCCCCCCCCCGAAAAACAAATTAAAAAGAAACAGGATTTTGCTACAGCTGGGGCCCATTAATATAGTAAAAGTCCGGATTGGTTTGTGTATGCCGGAAGTTCTGAAGGCAACCCCCCGACCCCAATAACTTGAAATTGGCCTTTACGTCCTGCAGAAACACGAACCTCGAGATTATATATACACATATATACACAGCCATCTGTATACATATATATATATATGTCTATAGATAGGTATTATAGTTTCAATCTAACGCTGTCGTGATCCGCAGCGAAAGACACGAAAAGCCACGTGTTGCCCCGTCGCGCAGCAGGAGGAGGTAGAGGTTTCGGTGTTGCGAAGAACCCGGAGGTTCAGACCCACTCGTCCAACATTGTCCGGGCTTTTAACAACTCTAAAATAAAGACTCCGAAATCCCCAAGACCCGAAACCCAGACCCTAACTCCAAACCCTTCATAGCCGGGTCACTGCAG